CTAAGTATGGTTGTATGGTTAATTGGTTATGTTAGTTGTTGGATGTTGAATACTTGAATTGTTGATGCCTTAATGGTTGACTGTGGAAGTGTTAAGCCCTAATTTTTGGGCATTTCCATAAAATGATGAGTTCATGATTCATGAGTCCTGATTATGGAATGAATTTGTTAATGTGTTATATGTAATTATGTATGTCAGTACTGAGTACTTACTACTGACTTACTGAGTATGGTTGTATGGTTAAATGGTTAATTGGTTAAATTGTTGATCCCTTGATGGTTGACTGTGGTCTGTGAAAGTGTTAAGCCCTAATTTGTGGGCATTTCCATAAAATGATGAGTTCATGAATCATGAATCCTGATTATGGAATATGTATCAGTGTATGTCCTTATGTGTGCTTGTGTGAAATGTGAATCACTGAATCCTAAGTTTGTAAGTTATGTGAACCCAATTTGCTCATCCTTAATTCCTTATAGATGGAGAGCAATCAAAATATAAGTAGAAGTGGAACTGGACCTCTTCCATCTTCAACAGTGGATGAACAAGGAGTACAAACCCCAGGCATTGAGACAAATGCTCAACAGTCTATGGCCACTCCTAATTTTCCTGCTGTTAAGAAGAGGAAGGAATTAGATTCTAGATCCATAGTTAGGGAGCACTTTGAAAAGATCAAAGATGCTGATAATAAAGTGATTAAAGGCAAATGCCTTTACTGTGCAAAATAGTATTTTTGTGAAACTAAAAAACATGGCACATCATCATTAAGAAATCATATGGTGAGTTGTCTTAAAAATCCTCATTCAAAGGATACAAGGCAGTCTCTACTCACATTCAACACTCTGTCCACTTCTGAGGGTGGAACAGAGGCTCCTGAGGGTGTTTTGGGGACATGGGTATTTAATCAAGATGCCATTAGGAGGGCCCTTTGTGAGATGATAATCATAGATGAGCTCTCTTTTATGTTTGTAGAGGGCCAGGGGTTCAAGAGGTTTATTCTGGTTACTTATCCTAGGTTTCTTATCCCTTCTAGGTGGACCATTTCTAGGGAGGTCTACCAAATTTTCCTTGATGAGAGGCTAAACCTTAAGAAGTTGTTTAGAGTGGGCACTCAAAGGGTTAGTCTAACCACTGATACATGGACTTCTGTCCAGAGAATTAATTATATGTGCATTACTGCACATTTTTTAGATGACTAGTGGAAGCTTCATAAAAAAAAATTATATCCTTTGTCCCAGTTTCTTCTCATAAGGGGGAGTACATTGCAAAAGCCCTAGACAGTTGTTTATTAGAGTGGGGAATTAAGAATGTGTTTACTGTAACAGTGGACAATGCTTCCTCTAATGACACAACTATGGGGTTTTTTAAGAGTAAACTGTTATCTTGGGGTTCTTCTTCTGTTGAGGTTTAGTACATGCACATGAGGTGCATAACCCATATTCTGAATTTAGTGGTCCAAGATGGGTTGAAGTTTGCAGATGAGTTAGTCAAGAGGGTGAGGGATGCAGTGAGATGGGTTAGGAACTCACCAGCTAGGCTGAAAAAGTTCAGAGAGTTTGCTGAACTATTTGGTGTGGAAGCTAAATCAGCTTTGCATCTTGATGTCCCTACAAGGTGGAACAGAACCTACATTATGCTCAACACTGCAGTTCAATATCAAGTAGTGTTTGATGCATATGAGAGAAATGACCCCTCTTATTCTGCTGACTTGGGGAGTGCTCCTTCCTTCTTGGATTGGTGTTCTATGGAAAGCTTAGTGAAGCTGTTGAAAGCATTTTATGATATGACAGTGAAGATCTCTGGTTCACTTTATGTCACATCTAACACATTCTTCTCTGAGATCTCTGATCTCAGTTGCATGCTTGAAGCTATGGTGAACTCTGTTCATGAGACTGAAAAGGTATTATCATTTATCTTTAAATTTGTTTGCTTTATTACTTTTTGTAAGTTGTAAACTTGTAAATTTTTTTTTCTATTTTAGGCAATGGGTACACAAATGAGGAACAAGTTTGACAAATATTCGGGGGATCAAAAAAAATGAAATCTATCATTTTTTTTTGCCAATATTCTGGACCCCATAGATAAGGAGGAGTACATGCCTCATCAGTTTGCCCAGTTTTATGGAGAAGTGAAAGGCAATGTTTGTTTTACCAAGGTCCAATCGGCAACGGCTGCTTTGTATGATGACTATGCAGCTACATACTCTGTCAGTTCTACCCATACTGCATCCTTTACTCAAGCAGTCCAGTCTGAGGCTAACCAGGCTACTACTTGTACAATTGGTAGGCCTCAGTCATCTTTGAAGAGCCAACTTAAAAAAAAAATTTAGAAAGTAGTGGAAGTAGTATGCAAACTGAGCTGCAAGTGTACTTAAGTGAAAGTCTTGTGGAGGATGATGAGTCTGTTACTTTTGATGTGTTAAAGTGGTGGAAGAGCCATAGCGAGAGATTTCCTATTCTCTCCAAAATGGCTAGAGATGTGCTTGCAGTTCCTATCTCCACAGTTGCATCTGAGAGCTGTTTTAGTACATTTGGAAGAGTACTTGATCCATTTAGGAGTTCCTTGACTCCTAAAATAGTGGAAGCACTACTATGTACACAAGATTGGTTGAGGGCACCTAATCAGCCAATCCAAGTTGAGGAGAACATGGAGGATGTTGAAAGATTAGAGAAAGGTAAGACTTATTACTTTCTTAGTTACATTTTTTATTCTTTATTTCCTAGTTTACTTATTCTGTTTTTCACTTTTGCAGAATTGCCCACTGGAGCTTCATCTACTATATCATCAATGAAGCCAACAATCACTGTAATGTGTTTAATATTTGTTTAAAATGTGTTCATTTCTTTAATCTGTTTGATATTCTGTTATGGTGTTGCAAGTGGTGTTTAGCCTCTAAGTGGCTTGGCAACTTTCTGTTATTGAAATGTTGCTGCCATTAGATAAGTTGAGCCCAATTTGGTCATTTCTCTGGAGTCTGGAATTCTGGTATAACTCTTCCTTGCTCTCTTTTCAGTTTGAATGTATTTGTTTTATTTGCTGGCTATGATGAAGCTTCCACTTTTGTCTGAATAAATGGAATGGAGTTTGTACATTGCCAATGTGCTAATATAACACATTCTGAGCAATTTGCCCACATTCTTACTTGATATGAAAAATTGCATTCTGAGCTAGTTAACCTAATGAATAATTGCCTAGTATTGTTAGTCTAAATGTCTAATAGTCTGTTCTTTTGTTCTCTAAACTCTAAACACTAATATTGTTTTAAGTTTGAATACTAGCATGAAGAAGAATAGATTACATTAGTGTTGATTTTGCCGACTGTTGATAGTCTGATTTTGCTTATTGTTGAGTGTTGATTGCTGAAGAGTGAATTGCCTAAAGGTGCTGATAGCTGACTGAATGACTCAGTTACTGCTTAACAGCTTAAGTGCTTAATGTATTTTGATCAAGTTAAACACTTAAGTCTTAAGCATGATTTTTTGTATAATCATTGAAAATCTGTAATTATTAACTTAGTTTGAAACTTTTATAGTTGTATGTTTTGCTATGGTATATTGGTATGCCTTTAATTTATTGCTATGGAGTGACGTAGTGACTGCTATTTTGTTTTGTTTTTTTTTTTTTTGTTTTTTTTTTTTTTTTGCTATAGTTGTATGACTTATTTATTTTAGAATTATTTTATATTAATTTATTAATATCCGATTACCATCTGAAATTCGACAACGGATAACCGAAATTCGAACCTATGAAATCCGATAGGATCTGTCCATAAAAATTAACGGATTGAGGGGTAAAAATGAAATCTGAAATCCGGTCGGATGGACGGATTGGAAATCCGATCCGTCTGTATCTGACCGATGCTCAGCCCTAGTCACCATTCCATGAAAGCAACTACTTTGGTTACCTTCTCAGGCAAAAGGTGACCATTTTGGTCCCTAGATGTTGGTCAGAGGGGAGTTAGTGGAAGGGTCGTCGTAGGAGTTTGCCAGAGGGCCACTAAAACTTTAGTGACATGATATTTTAATAAAAATATGGGCATTTGGTCTAGTGGTATGATTCTCGCTTAGGGTGCGAGAGGTCCTGAGTTCAATTCTCGGAATGCCCCAAAATTTTATTTCTATAAACTTAACATATTAAACAAAACTCCCAAAAGCCTGTTAGGCTTACCTTAATGAAAACACTAGTGATGGGCAACTGTTGAATCGTCACAGGTCGCGTTTGAAGAAGGCGACCATTTTTTGCCACCTTATGCTCCAAAAGGCGACCATATTTTGCCGCCTACTCCAGCAAAAGGTGACTATTTTTCGCTCGCCTTCTACTCTAATAGAAGGCGAGGGTTTTTTATCACTGCTCTGGAAATATGCAACCATTGCTCTAGAGGAAAAAAAATAAAAAAAAAATGACCAAATTTGGTCACCTTCTTTGGCAAAAGAGGACCATATGGTCACCATTCCATGAAAGCGACTACTTTGGTTACCTTCTCAGGCAAAAGGTGACCATTTTGGTCCCTAGAGGTTGGTCAGAGGGGAGTTAGTGGAAGGGCCGTAGGAGTTTGCCAGAGGGCCACTAAAACCTTAGTGACATGATATTACAAATCATCAACAAGTTTTTGAGCTCTAATGCACCAAATTAATATGCTTGTGAGCTTAATTACACCTTTTAAAAGTTTAAATACTTAATTAACTTTTAGAGTAAAATTTAGGAGTCTATTTAACTATTTTTCCCTCTTCTTTCAGTTTCTTGTTAGTGTCCACACTAGGAAGCATTGCTAAGGCGGAAGCATAAAGTATTATATTCAATCTGATGATGAGATGTCAACTGGAATATCTGAAACAAATATATATTAAAGGGTGCTTGATCTTTGCCTTATGTTGATATCCCAAGACTTTTAACCGTTAGACTGTTTTAATGGCATTCAATTCTTGATTTTTCTCTTAAGAAACTGGTCAACACTAATGTTCCAATTATACCCTACAAAATATGCCCTCACTGGAGAATGAAAATAGTTAAAATCATTTGACATTCAAAGACTAAATTAGACAACTTTGAAAAAAAAAAAAAAACCATAATTGCTGTTCCATTGTACTTTATTAGGACAATCCAAAAGATCAAGAAACAGTGTCATCCTGCCCTTAATACTTCTTATTCTCAAAAACATCTCTCATACCATTAAACTCAAACCTCCGATACCATTACAAGATGCCGATAGAGGCCGAGAAAGCATATTCCATTACACAGCCTTCCATGTTGACAACGGAGGAGTATCCGAATCTTTCCAAGTTCTCATGTCGGGCGAATACCTATCGCCCTTGACTGCATCAGCTGAGCCGATTTTTTCAAGCTCGGCCATGTCTTCTGGCGTCAACTTCACAGATAAAGCACCAATGTTCTGGTTGAGATTCTCGATCTTAGTGGTACCAGGAATGGGGCATACATCGTTCCCCTGATGGTGCACCCAGGCTAATGCTAGTTGCGAGGGAGTGCACCCTTTCGTTTCAGCAATTTCAACAATCCTTTCATATAACTTTATGTTGTGCTCAAGGTTTTCAGCTTGGAACCTTGGTAAATACTGCACAATTAAATAAACCTTTAACATCTGAAAAAGCCGACTTTTCCAAAGTTACAATCGTTATACCAATGTGTATATACCAAAAGAGGGTACGAAAACAAATTCGTTTTACATTGGTAACCTCGAGTTAATACCAACCGAGGTCCCCCGAGTATAGTGGCATAGTCCTAAACTTTCAATTTAACCACTCCTGATCCTTCTACTTTCAAATTTAACCACTACCGGTCGTGGTCCATCTGTTAGTTTAAGTAAGGGAGTAAAAAATTTCGAAGTTGAAGGACCATAAGTGGTTAACTTGAAAGTTGAAAGATCATGGGTGGTTAAATTTGAAAGTTGAAGGACCACAGGTGATTAAATTGAAAGTTTAGGACTAAATGTCACCGCCACTATACTCAGAGGACTCCAGATGGTATTAACTCGGTAACCTCACTTGTCATTTAATTGAAATTCTCTTTGTTTAAAAACTATATCTCATGTGAAATCAGAAGTTAAATGCAATAACTGAAATCCTTGAAATGCTTAATATTAAGAAGAAAACACTTAAATATGGGCAAACCTTTCTGAAATCTCCATTTGTGAAATCCTCAAGCATCTTTGGACCTGATGACAAAAATCCCCTGCCCAAAGGACTGTATGCAACAATCCCAATTCCTAGTTCTCTGAAAAATTGGTAAGAACATTAGAAACATTAATTTGGATCTTGGCACTAACCACTAGGAGGAGCTAAACGATGGTACCTGCAAGTAGGAATTACGTCTTCCTCAACATCTCTCGACCACAAAGACCACTCCAACTGCACTGCCGATATTGGATGAACAGCGTGTGCTCTTCTGATTGTGGAAGCCGAAGCCTCAGATAGACCTATGTATTTTATTTTACCCTCTTCGACTAACTTCTTAAGTTCTCCCATCTTGCACAAGGAGAATGAGTTTTAGATTGAGATAGGCAATTTGTATCAATGGCACATATGAGGGCAAAAGGGGACTTACCGTGATTTCAATGGGCAGTCGTGTATCAACGCGGTGTTGATAGTATAGGTCAATGCAATCAACGTCGAGCCGCTTCAAGCTGGCCTCACATGCAGCCCGCACATAGGCTGGGTCTCCGCATATATCTCTCTTCCCATCAGCAAAACTAATTCCAAACTTTGTTGCCAACTCAACCCTTTCTCTCACACCTCCCTTCAATGCCTTTAGAACAAAAAGATTTCCATAACACCAGTTAGAAAATACATAAAATAGCCTCAACATAAAGTCATAAACCTATCACTTCCTACATACACAGGCCCTATGTGGTAAAATAGGTAGCCTATCGATTAATTTTGTCTTATTTGACCACTATTAGTTGTATCAATATGAGTGTTTGATTAATTAGGTTTTTTTAACAATTGCTCCAAAATACTAAAATTCAAAAAGCTGCTCAAAGTAACTTTTTCGATCAGCTTTTTGAGAAAGTTTTTGTATGTAATCAGCTATCAGTCAACAACTAATTTACCAAACACTTTTCTACAATCAGCTAATGTTATCAACTAGTTAAACCACTAACTCAATCAGCTAAGAGCTATTTACCAAACACCCCCTCAATCAGTTCAAGCAATTAAATCTTATAACACAATACATGTTTACAGAATTCAGTGTCTTTACAGTGTCTACTCGACTACTCAGTAACCCCCCTCCTCTCTCTCTCTCTCTCTCTTCCTCTTTCCCATTTACTAACCTAAATTGACTCTCACTAATAGCTAGCTCCATAGTTACCCAATACTTCTGTTACTTAACAATTAACATCATTTATTTTCTTCCAAGTACTCTGTAGTTATCTTTACTTAAACTATTTACGATTAACATCTAAAAGATCTTAAAGAATTGGAAAATATTGAAAGATTTTAAAGGAACATTAACTAAATACTTCAATATTTAACCCAATCCACAAAATAAATAAAGATAATTTCTCCCAATTTTCATTTCTAAATCATATATCCTAAATAAGATTCATCTCAAAAAGGTAAGGAATTTGATCATATGAGCAAGAAACCAAGCAAGCAAGCAAAGAGAAACAGTAATCCATGAATTACAGAAAAATAAGAAAGCGAGTAGCAGCATATACACCTTGCCGACTAGGATCTCGTTGGTGTGAGGGCCATAGATGTCGGAGGTGTCGAGGAAGGTGACGCCGGAGTCGACGGCGTGGTGGATGAGGGTGATCATATCCCCATCGGGCTTGGGCGGGCCGTAGAAGGCGGACATGCCCATACAGCCCAGCCCCTGAGCCGACACTTCCAGGCCCTGTGAACCCAACTTCATTCTCGGGACCTTCGCTCCCTCAGCCGCCATGGATTCTGATGTGAAGAAGTAGACGGGGTTCACTATTTTTCACAGTAGCGGACAGGCCACCGAAGATGTAGAATTTGAGTACTCATTACTTCATTAGTCATATATATTTATAGCAATTAAAAGGGATTGATTTGTTTCTTTCAGTGGTCAGCATGATCAAAGGAGTGAGGTAATAAATAATAATACTCCACTGTCCAATTTTATCTATCATACTTATAATTCATTGGTCAAATTAACTTTTTCTTTTTTTACTTACTTTTTTTTAGTACTTTTTACTTATTTTTAAATTTGAATTTTTGTATTTAATAATACTTTTAGTATAGTTTCTAAATATATAACTTTTGTATATTAGTTAATATTATGAAAAAATTAGATTAAAAATAACTATAATCAAGCCTCGTTAACCGAACCAAACACATAAAATGTGACGGAACTCTGTAATTCATTTTTATACGAGTAATACTACATGTACTCTCACTTTCTACTCCATTTTGTACTCCTTGCTGAAGTGTCATTATCTGATTAGTTTAAATAACAAGTGGGCCATTATTTTTCTTTATTCACTTGAATTCATTGGTACACATGGCGAGAGTTTATACTACATGGGAGTACATATCGCATTTTCCTTTTTATACTCCCTAATATTCCTTCAATATTTGACTATTTATTTATTTATTTAATACACTAGAAGGTTCTTTAATTTTATTATTAAACATTGACGGACTCTCGTATGATATCGTTCCTTGAAATCGTCTAAAGAATTTTTATTCGAAAAACGATTGGGGTGAAATGAAAATTTAATCCTAATTTCATAAAAAGAAAATTTAATCCTAATTAAAAATAAAACTTTTTTTATTATAAATGAAGGGAATATCCACATAGAAAACCTACTAGTCTACTAGAATAGACATCATTTCTACTGAGGCTCAAACTCATCCCCTTCCATATAGGAAAGTAAGTTGGTATTAGTGGATCACAAGGTCCTTGGTTTAGAAATAAAATATTTATTACTTATAAAAGGGAGTGTAATATTTAAAAGTATTTTTTAGTATAAATATTATTTTTCTTATGAGTAACAAATATTTTATTCTTAATTAATATTACATTTTTTAAGTATAAATATTATATTTTTATGTTGACTCAACTTGTTTCACATATAAGAATTTATGAGATTGTTTCATACAAATTTTTTCCTTAAACATTTGATTGACGTAAGAAAGAAAATATAACATACTCTCATATAAAATATGGATTAAATTTGTTTCTGAGTGTAGTTTAATATTTTTTTTGGTTGCTCAAAAGCATCCCTCCCGTCGATAGTCAGAAGACTAATTTATCGTCTTTACTGTCAGCACATTAAGGTAGTTTAATGTGATAACACTTAATTAGTAGTATAAAAGATATATTTTAATGAAAAAATGACATTTTTTTCCCTGAATTATAGACTTATAGTATTTTTTTTTTGCCCTGACTTTTTCATGTATTCACATTTTCCCCTCAATTATTTTAAAAGTGACGGTTTCTCTTCCCCCTCCCCCTCCCCCCCCCCCCCCCCCCTCTTAATGTTAAATGGATATTTTTACTCTTAAAAAATTATTTTATTTATTTTTCTTCTCTAACAAATTATTACTTGTATGTACAAATGACCATGGTTCTATTTGAACCGAACCGGACACCATAACAAATAAACTAAAACAGTGTGGATGGTTCTTTTTAGTTGTTACGACTCAGAACTAGAAAAAAAAAACTAATGGTTGAATGGAACAAATTATAATGTATATAAAATAAAATTAAATAACATTTTCACATATTCGAGTGTATAAATATCGAGTGAAACTGTAGTTATATCGAAATGAAACTATAGTTATGTTGCAGTGTATACAAAATGAAATTGAATAACAAAGGTACTTTTTGCAGAGCGACGTGGAACGACGCGAAACGAGTGCCGTTTCTTTTCATTAAACAAAACGACTTAAACAAAACGACGTCGTTTTGAATCTCGGTGCATAATCGATTATGCACCGCGGTGCACGATATAATTATTACAGTTCACCAAACATTTTTTGGACTTCAATACTCCAAAATAACATGTTTATGGATTTAAATGTAACTTTTAAAAGTTTAATAGCCTAATTGACATTTCGTGTAAAGTTCTAGAACTTATTTGGCCGTTTTTAAAATAAATAAATAAATAAATAAAACAATACAAAAGTAGTATTGGCACTTCAGTGGGGTGGGGTGGGGTGGGGTGAGGTGGGGTGGGGTGGGGGGCAATACTACTGTTTGTGCAAATCAAATTCCAACCACACGAGTCAATCGGAACCGAACTGAGAGCACCTACTCTCGTGCTACAGAGGAGCAAGAGAGGTTGTGGTGCACCGAGAGCACAACTCTCGTGTTGCCTGGTCCGTGTGAACTTGCACCCCAACGGTCTGAAACCCGAAAGTTCAGCCAGTTGTACAGATTAAACTCATCTGTTACGGAATTAATTCTGTTTTAATTCCAATTTTAAATTCTGTTACGGAATTAATTCTGTTTTAATTCCAATTTTAAATTCTGAGTTTAATCCTACTTAGTGGGTGACCGTTACAGGTGTTATACAATTGGTTTCATACCAATTAAAGGCCATGTTGAATGCTATCCCTTCCAACATCCCTATATAAAGAGAGGTAGAGCAGTAGCTCTTTTAAACAGAACGAAACTAAGGAATTCCAGTATACTTTGCTTCAAAACTTCTGCTTCTACTCTCTTCTTTACCTAGCAGTGTTCTTGCTCTTGCTTTGTTTGCCAGGTTCCTTGTTTAGGTGCTTAAACAAGGAATCGAAGCACGTTTTATCCTGGGAAACCTAGGCTACAACGCTCCTAGCACTTGTGGGAGGTAGCAAATAAGGTTTTAAGGAAAAGAACTTCGTGTTCGAACTCGTGCTAAACCTATACCCAAACACTCAACATTTTCCTTTCCAATTCTTTCTGTTTTCCCATATAATATTAATCTTTTCGTAGGATTATTATTTTTGGGGATTTTACAACCATATTACACAACAGAAGATAACTTATCATCTATTACCACACCAGGGAGTAAAAGTGAAGTAATAGAAATTTGGAGTCCATATATAAGTCTTAGAGCATCCATATCAATGTTTTTTTGATGGATTTTGGAACAGTGCAAAAAAAATGGGTATGATTTTTTTGTTGATGTGGGATGGGTTTTTATTGAGTTTTAACTCCTGCAAGTTAAAAGAATTTTGTGGAGTTCACATTTGGAGAAGGAAAACAAAGCCAGTCTCCACATGTTGGAAACGTTGCAGCCCAACTAGGCAAGTGCAGTGCACGCGCCCACTGGCGCGTCGCAGCTTTAAGTTTTTTTTTTTTTTTTTTTTTTTTTTTTTTTTTTTTATTTGTGTCAGACAATTTTTTTTTCTTTTTTTCTTTTTTTCATTTTTTTCCTCCCTCTTCTCGCTCCTATTTGGAACATAATCAAAAAAAAAAAAAATATTATGGATGCTCTGGGACAAGTTTTAAAACATGTCACTTTGGCAGGCCTATTAAAAGGCTAGAGGAACGTTATGCTATGCAACCGTGTGTACCATGCAAGGTGCACATAGTTCCAATTCATAATTTGTATAATACAGATTCATAATTACTATACTGTAGATTTATAATTTCTATGATGTAGATTCATAAAATCTATACTGTAGATTCATAATTTCTAAATCGTAGATTCTTAATTTCTAAAACATAGATTCATAATTTAAATATACAGTAGATTCATAATTTCTATATAGTATATTCATAATTTCTATACTGCATATTCATAATATATGTACTGTAAATTCATAATTTCTAAATTGTATAGTTATCAAATTATGAACATATAGTTCTGTGATTTGTGAATACAGGGTTCAACAATTGGGAATATCAACATTGAAAATTATGAATATAGAGTTTTGTAATTGTGAATATAGAGTTCAATAATTATGAATATAAAGTTCAAAAATTATGAATATATAACTTTATAATTATGAACATATAATTCAGTAATTATAAACATAAAATAATGTGCATCATACATGGTGCACACGATTGCACAATATAATTAATTTGCCAAGGCTAGCTAACACCCTCTTAGGTTTGCGGGTTATGACAGACCGACCTATTAAACTCATAGAAAATTAAGTTTGATTAAAAATTACTTTTAAAACTTTATAATTGTATATTAAAATAGTTTAGACACTTTAAATAAACACTAATATAATTTGTTAAAGCCAACTAAAAAGTTCAAATAAATAGATAATTCGTATAAATTAATCAAAAATTTAAAATTTTGAAACACCTTAATAGTTAATATTGATACACATATTCCAAATTATCTATACAATTTATTGACTTAACTTTCCGCATCTCTAGTATTCTCGACTGTTGTACAACAATTACGAAAAATTTTTTACAACAGTAGCGGATTAGATGTTTTGTACTAGTGCATGCAAGTACTTCTCTTCGTTATTGCAAGCATTGAAAGATTAATTTTAAAATATATCACAGAAAGTGGTGATTGGTTCCAAATAAAAAGGGAGGTTGAGTTAAAACTCTTAATTAATCCTTTTACAAAGTATTTTAATATACAAACAAGATTAAAAGGATTAATTAACCTATATGTGAGCATGAAGTGTCGTTGCTTAAACAAAATTTAGACTTTACATGGCACATGTTTATGAATAGATACAAACATATGGTTTTAATAGTTTATAGTGTTTAGTATTCAAGGTCAAATTGTGACATTAAAACTTCTGTGTGTTATACCTTTGGTATCTTGTAGTGATTGCTTGGTTCAAAACTTCTCTACCATTGTAATTAGAGGTATTGTAAAATGTATTAGACTAAGTGGAAATTCAATTTTTGGACACTCTCATTTATGCATGAATTTTTTATTTTTGTCTTATAGTTAGCCGTATAAACTAGGTTTACTATATTATCAAAAATTTCTATGGTAAATGGTTTATTTTATACTTTAATTTGGACATTACTACTGGAAAGTGGAAACTTAAATAATATTTTGGTGCTTTG